ATCCCTGTTATACAGAAGTACCTGCATGTTTAGGAAGTGGAGGTACAAACATTTTCCAGTTCACATCTTCAGAGTAGATTTTGGACATCTCTGCTACAATTTCATCAGTGACAGAATTATCCGTTTGCCTCAGGCGAGTGATTGTGGCTTCTTGATCAACACTATCACTTCCTGCATAGCCATAGATGAGGTAAAAGAGAAACTCGTGCATTATCTGCATCCGCACAAATTTTGGAGAAAAGCCATACTTCTTACCAACTCTCTGCAACCAATATGAACAACTGCTCTGAATAAAGGAAATAACATAAGTACAAAAATAAGAATTCTAGAAAAAGCGGGGAAATGTGGATCATACAGGTTTTTATATTTCCCCAGAGCAGAGAGCTGTGACAGCAATGCAGGTGAAAGCAGCGGTGGACAGCAAACTCTGCTGCAGGATCAGGAAGAAGCAATGTCAGAGTTGGTATGATCAGGAAAACAACAAAGAAAGATATGAGAGCGCGCTGATTTAAAACTATGAGACTTGAGTAAGAGGTTCTGAGCAAAAAGCTAAGTCAGAAGTTAGGATATGAAGACATTACCAATGATATAATTTATTTATGGAAAACAGGACAGAAAGTAGCGACGAGTGGAATGTGATTGGTGAGGTGTTTCTACGAAAGTTGGGCTTCAAGATATAAGAAATGTTTTTCAGTAACGTTAGACTATCTATGGTACCTGTATAGCATTAGACTAGCCTTTAGCAATTAAGTGTTAATGTTCAGTTCACGATTGTATATTTTATAGCAAGTGAGTGCAAAGGGTTAGGGGACAAAAATGTGAGAAAATGTTGAGTGAGTGGAAACCTTAACCTCAAGCCAAGGTCATATTCAACAATTCCCAACTTTATCACCCTTCTGGATAACATTATCTTGCCAACCAATTTCCCCGAACGTCTCCTTACAACTGACGACATATCACAATAGAATACTTACACTATCATAAACAAAGTCCTGTGATTTTATCTTATCCTTGTTTGATGTAATAGACTTCAGCTCATTCATGCTCCTGTACACAGATTCACTTGAATAATTCTCATCTTCCTTTTCTTTTGCTTCATTGCAAAGTTTAATTACTCTGTCTTTACCAAGGATAAAGAACTTCATCTTAGCTTGTTCAATTGCAGACTGGATTATGCTGTGATCTACAAATAAACATTGAAGTTATATAACTGAGGTGAGTGAAAATCTAACAAGTTGAAATCCATACAGAAAATTCAACAGATAATAATGTAGTTCTTTGAAAGGGTAATCTTAAGTACACCATTTTCTGTTGTTGTTGTTGTGAGAACTTACGTTCATGACACTGAAGTGATATGTACATAATTACATCTTGTATTACTGCAACTACAAAGGCACAAAATATCCAACTGTTTTCCAAACCGATTCATGGCATCAAACAAATGTGTAAAACATAAAACATTTACCTCCTCATCTACTGCAAGCTGTAATAACCATTTTTTGTTCTGGTATACATTCAGAATCAACACAATCTCAATGCAGACTTAACTGTTCCATATACAGGATATACACAAAAGAATGGTGCAACGGTGACTGGCGACTCATTTTTGGACATGTTGGAAAGCTGGTTGTTACCCCAACTGAATACCAATTATGGTGATTACATTCTACAAATGGATGGAGCTCCCCCCATTTTCACAGGAATGTACGAGTGCTTCTCAATCGTGTTTTTCCCCAGCGCTGGATGGGATGAGTTTGATTACCGTGTGGATGTGTATCGTGTGACCCAGGGTGCACACATTGAAGGATTGTAATTAACGCATGAGAAACTTGGACAGTTGCCGCCGCTGACGGTGTATGTTGTGCCCGTGTAAAGTGAGAAATAAATTTTTTATTAACATTTGAAACCGCACCATTCTTTTGTGTATACCCTGTATATCATGTATTACTTTGTAAAGGTAAGGATAAAGTTGTCCCTTGTGCTTAATTAAGCATCACACTACGAAGACATATTAGAGCAGCAGCAAATCGAGACAAGTGGTCACCTTCATAGCTTTGATGCTTTACCTTCAGGGACGAACAGCTAGTGCCGGCAGACAGGTGCCTGTCAGGGTGGGTTGGCCCTACAGCGTCTGTGCATTGTGGTGAAAAGGAAATTATCTGCTCTTGCCACAAATCAAAATCCGAATTTTCCAGTCCATAATCTAGTCACTGAACACACTATGACACCCTAACACCTCACACTTAACTTAAATGAGGCAGAATATCGCCAGGTCAATATGGTAACAATGAAAATCCCAAGGAACTGACAAATCAATGGCTAGTTCTGCAGGTTGCAAACTGTGTACCTCGCCAGCACCTCCTTTTTTTGTACCAGAACTGACCTGTAGTAATGTCAGGTTCGCAGACAAAACTCAACATCTTCTCCTTGGTACCGCCTTTCAATACAATCTTGATAACCTTCACATGGCCATCTTTGCTAAGCTTCACCAGGAGTCTGATTAAGGACTTCTTATCCATCTTGACATTGTAGCCTTCCTTATCCTCCTCTTCATTGATATGCTGCACATACACATGAAGCACTTCAGTCTTACAACCATTCAACTACACAGATACACCATGGCCAAGGGATTTAAATGTCCGCTTTAAAAACTGGTACGGAATGTGTTAAGATGCAAAATCTTTTCAAAACTCAAGGAAGACCAAAGTCCATATTACCTTCATAAGCTTGGTGAGGTCATCAATAACCTTATGAGCCCTAACAGCTTCAATGATAATATTGGCACGCCGTAGAATCCTATATGTGATGTTTGAAGTTTCCTTATTACATGATTCCATCTTCAGAAGTTCCTCAGTAAAGCTAGCCTGGCTCCTAAAAAGAACAAAAAATGTGAGGGAAAGTTATCCCTGTGCTCAGTCAAACACCAAACTATGAAGATGTGTGGAAGAGTGGAGACATGGCTCCATGCTTTACTAGCCTGAGGGTAAGACTGAGGTCAGTAGACAGCCTCATGCACTGGCCACTTTTGCCCTAGGGACTGAGCCCCCTATACCCATTTCATACGAGGGTAGGTTGATCTCTAAACTGAACTGAATGCTGGTTATTACGCATCCCTTGCATGAAGTGCATAGCAAAAATACATTATGGGTTGGTCGTGTCTGTCCGCCTATCCGCCTGCCCTGTCTATTCAACTAAAGAACCACTGGATGGACTGAGATGAAATTTGGTATTTAGGTTGTGCAACTCTGCACAACCCCAAACCGTATATTTGTGCTTTTGAATATCCTACAAGCTGTGAAAAATTTACAGATGAGGGAAGTTGTGAGGTGAATACCGAAGTGCTGCAATCTGGTGCCCTCATTGGGAATTTGTTTTCTTACAATGGTTACAAGTGGCAACCACAGTTATGCATTCTTTCAATATTTACCATGGCTTTTGTGGTATTAGTTTCAGTTGTTAGGTTAGGTTAGGTTAAACTGCCAGCAACAAGAATGAATAGATATTCCGTGGATGGGATAAACGAAAGAAAAATACTCATTATATGGCCAGTGCTAAGAAAGGAAGAAGAAGATGGGGAAAGGCAAGGAGAAGGAAGTGTGTGCACCAAAGAATCCAATGCAGCCAGAGAACAAGCTGCAGAAGAGGAAGAAATGAGTTTGTATACAACAGAGACATAAATTTTGTGAAGCAACAAGAACCTGTCAGAAAAATGTGCACAGTCCTAACCCCTACTTTTAGTGTAAAAATTAGTGTAAAAAAGGGGGAAGTTAAGTGAGCAAATAATGATATCATAACATACATACTCTTTAACACCAAGAACATCTTCCACATCTTCTAAGATCTGGGTTTCAATTTTTTGTTCAACCACAACAGCTTGTTCCTCTTGGGAGACCAATTCCCCTCCTGTAGAAGCCTTTGCAGTCTCATCAGCATCAATTTTCAGTCTCTTCAAATTTTGACCACTGCTACTTGTTGTTTCTTCTTCATGAGGACGCTTCTTCTCATGTACATTCTTCTTCTCCTTGGATGTGCAAATTTTCTTTGATTTACCTTTATTTGTCGACTGCTTCTTATTCCTTTTCCGTCCAACAAGGTTCAGCATCTTTTCCTTCTCCCGCATAAACTCAACATTCATTTTGCCTTCCTTTACAAATTTCTTGGACATGTACCTGGAAATGAACACAATAAAGTTGTCACTAACTCTGGAAGACAATACATATTTCTTACTGTAGGCATAGCCACCAGGGTGCAACCACTTCTCCATTCATGTACATTTATCTTTATTTATGTGTCAATAAAGCAGAGTACAGGCAACATGACAGTGTAAGAACTGGGTGATAAGAATGCAACAAAGCTTCAAGTATGTAATAAGTATTTGGACTGAAGTTATAATAATCTGGTTTCTTTTCCTGCTACACTTAAGTCATGCCTTTACATGTCAACACTGAAAATGACTGTTCAATGAAAATGTGACTAAACACACTCTGTATGAGTTATTATGCAGTTTCTCTTGGTTTTAGTCAGTTTTCTGAGAACACCTTGAAATAAAAAATGGTTTGTTCATGCTCCATTCTTTCTGAATCACTTCTACCCTAATGATGAACAGTCTGCAAACAGTCAGACAGAAACTCCGTACTTATGCAGGTGTCCACCTGAGAAGACTTCACTGCATCGTGATCATGAAAACTTGAAATATTAACTACGGTACATAATCACTTGCCCAACTTTATATCTCAATCACACAACCATCTCCATTCGAAATGTAATGTGTAGCCCTACATATCACAGTCAAAACTTCAAAACATGAAGTACACACCTGAGAAGTTCTGATTTAATACTGTTTCAACATTTGGTCTTAGCACAGACCATCCCCAAAACCTAAATTTTCACAATATGTTTTACAGTTGGAGTCAAATATAAAAAATATAATTTTCTGTTAATTCAATGCTGCATCTAAACTGATGACTCAAACAAAGTGAAGGACTTTTAATGGAATCCTTAATACGGGTTTTACAGTTGGAGTCAAATATAAAAATTATAATTTTCTGTTAATTCAATGCTGCTTCTAAACTGATGATTCAAACAAAGTGAAGGACTTGTAATGGAATCCTTAATACAAACTTACGAAATATACACTAATGTAAAGTATTCTGTAAAGGGATTTCACTGCATACATTGATGTTAGTTGGCCTATTTATAGTAAAACCAAAACTCACCTGAACAGATAAGCATAATGAGACATACACTACTTTAGCAATATATCTTAACATTTAAGAATAGTAGAGTAAAAACATGTTCTTTCTCACCTACACACCCTCTGCCTGCCAACGTCATTCATGATTGTTGAAACAACGCCTTTCTTCTGCAGGTTACGGCACAATGTTCTGGCCTGAAGTTTAGATACACCCATTTTAACACTTAACTCCATCTGACTTGTGCCCTCTGGACCAGAATTCTCCACAATATTGAATGCTTGTGACAGAATGGGCCGATCAAGAAGCAATTCACTTGTATTCAATAAACCTGAAGGAAAATATGTATAGTAGCAATAAATAGGCCAAATATATTGGGTAGTTTACCTGGTACCTGAGATACAGAGGGTTCAGTTTTCATGACATTCAAGAAACTATTGACAAAATATAAGCCCCCATGTGACATAAACTTTTAAAGAGTGGTTTAGCTAACAGCTTCTACGCACCTGTGCATGTGTGTGCGCGTGCGCATGCACAGATAGTCAAGCTGCTATTAAAGCACTTGACAACTGTGAAATCTCATGACCTCTGAAACGTTGGTAAACTTCTATGAGACTACATGGTGCAACATTCTCTTTACGTTTTAACACGCTTTGGCATTGTCCATGGCAGACATAAGTCCCTTCACCATCAAGAACTATCTATTGTTGTGAGCATGTAGGTTCTGAAGAAAGGATAAATTTGTAGTTTGCAATTTATTTAACGATGGTTTTCAGTAACTCAGACTATATAGTGTTGAATAAGATGATAGTGAATTGGAAAAGATGTGGAAGGAAGCGGTCATGGCCCAATTTAAGGTACTATCCTGGAAGGACTGAGGGAAACCACGAAACCCCCCAGCAAGAATAGCCAGTCTCTGGGCCGAGGTTTGAACCTGTGACCTCCAGAATATGAGGCAGAAGTGTTAACCACTCGACCACAACGTTCAGTAAGAAAGGATGAAGTGGCCAAACGCTTGATGAAATGAGTAAAGCATTTGTAATTTTGGTTAATGTATGCAAAATAGAGTAAAAGCATTCATACCGTTTGTGAGATTCACATTTCACAGCAGTGAGCATGCTCATGCTCTTCTAGTCCCGCACCTTGGCACCAAAACCCAGAACATCATCAACATTCCTATCCTGTTCTGTGTTACATATGAAATGAAGTGTAAGACAAAATCCGCATTGCTTTGAAGAATCAGCACGGTATGCATCCCATGTTATGACGTGGGTTAGAGTCAACAGTGAACTGACCACATTTTTCTTTAATGTGAACGTCATCTGGAGCTGTTGTGTCATTGGCTAATTCAAGAAACTGATAATAAAGGCCTTCTAAATAATGTAAGTTTGCAACAACATGGGGCACCAACCTATTATGTTCCTGACACATTTTTTCTGAACAACTCATTTGCAGTGGATTGGACAGAACACGCCTCTCAACTGGCCTCCCAGAAGTCCTGACCTGACCACATGTGACAACCATTTGTATCGTTCTGTGAAAGAACAGCTCAACATAACAATTCGCACGCACTCTGTTGCCGAGTTAAAAGCGAATTTTGCCACATTTTCAAAGCTACTACACCAATAACGCTATGAAAAGCCATCTGGTGCACTTGGTGATTAATGCAATTATCTGCTAATAATGACATTAGCCATACATGGCTTAGTGCTATGAGGTGAGTGGTAAGACATTTCTTGATTCAATAACACATGCATTAATATCAGTATCATGTTCTTTTGTAATTACAATGTTCCTATACTAAACCCCTACTCTTATATTATACTTTTTACACATCTTATCATGACTTTTAGCCATCCCTGCAGAATTATCTTCTACTAATTAGTTTACAAGACACACTTTCTTAAATTTAATGTATCCATAAAACCATTACTGAAATCAAATTGAGATGTGCAGAGCCTCCAGTCACATCCAACAAAGAATTCTGATGGTAAGTGAGAAATCTGTACACCCACCTGCTGCAGTATCATCTTCTTCTTCTATCTCATCATCCTTGGTCCATATTTCGCGCACATCCATGTCCGGATTGATTAACTGAATTACCCGAATCCTCTTTTCTTTGTCACTGCCCTTCTGCTTCCATTCTGAGATGCTGGCAGATGGATATAGGTGACGGTATGGCAACCGCTGACATCACAAAAGACAAAATTGCTTATAAACAAAAATAAGCATTTACCAAGAAAATTGTTGTCATTAATAAAACAATAAAACCCATGATGACCTTTTCGTTTCAAATACGTACTCTGTTCAATAATTACAATATTTATTGGCTAACAAACTGCTGGGGAAATATCACATGCAATCTTATAATTCAAATGTAGTTATGTATGACAGAAGAATACTATATGGGGAAGAATAAACAACCAATGTACATAAAATACAATACAGATCTTACCAGGTCTGTCTTCACATAACGCTGAAAATCAAATGTTTTGAACAACTTTTTTAATGAATTTGATAGGCCCAGTTCTTTACGTATTTCTTCATATTCTGCTATGAAATTCACACGAGTTTTAAGGATCTCAATAACTCTCTCAGTGAGAAACAAAGCTTTTGGTTTACGATCCACTCGGAATCTTGGAAGATGCAGCAAACTCCCAGTACAATTCTGGGTACCTGACTTCTGTTGGTGAACCTGAAAACCAAATGAAAATAACTTAATTTGTAGCAATAAATTCTTATGTAAACTACAATTCAAATATGAACAGTAATAATTCATACCTGTTTCACAATAAGTTTGTATTTCATCAGATATTTTCGATGATAGAACAACACTTTTGGATCCTCTCCAACAAGCTGCAAGCTGACCTTGCCTTGGGTCACCTCCCCCATATAACGGGAACGGCCAATTCTCTCCAAAACACAATACTGCATGACAGTCAGTTCTAAACCAGGGTTAACATTGAGACCCATCAGCGCAATGTTTCTTGCATCTTGTGAGGCTACAAGTACCAACTTGGCACCCCACCTGTAAAGTAATCGGTATCCAAATTACCATCATCGTATATTACCGCTGTTGCACCATCATAATATTTGTTCACAAACTTATTTCATAAAATAAAATTGTGCAATATACACATGAAAATTAAGAAAGTGATCATTAATGTCATTATAACACAAACATAAAGTTACCTCTGTGTCAAAAAACCACATCATGAGTGCATATAGATAACATGGAGGTTAGGTTATACCTTTCACAACCACAGGCTCTACAGCCATTCTGGATGTGACAGTGGAGATGAAAATTCCTAATGACCATCAGGACTTTCAACCTGAACCTGTTCCTTTATCGTAGCTCATCATAATCATCTCCAATAGGATCCCAATAAAATGTTCAAATATCACTCATACAAAAAAGAATTCCAATTTTGTTATATATTAATGTCACACCAAACATTAACTCAGAGTAATAAAATATTCTTCTACAAAAGGTTATAAGAATCATAACAGGTGCTCGGAAATGAGAACTACAATGACAACTATTTAACCCCCTTGGTCTGTACAGGACATACATGTAGCAATAGGTGGCTGGCCAAATGGGGCTATGTTGTTCTGCTACATCAATGTATTGTCAAAAATGCTACACAATCAAACAGCACCTTACATACAGTGGCCGCAAAACTTTTTGGCCAGTGTAATTTTCAAGCGGAAAGCTCAGAGCAAGTCACTTGTACAATACATTATAATGTTTCATCATCTGCCATGGCTTCATATTAACAACAAATTTAGTCCAGAAGAAAAACAATATTTAATGTAACACATTCATTAGATGCTTTTTAGAGTTACATTCAGTAACTTGGCATTTCATATTTATGCTTTTTGTATCAATCTCGGTGCAAACAGGGATTACTTCTTTAAACAGTATTAAGAAACAGATCTTTGTAATGGCGACATATTGTTTTCTCTTCATGGAACAGACTGAATTCTTAAACATTAGACAAGCTTTGGCTTCAGAGAGTTAATACAGATCTCGGTCATACAGTTTTTGAAGTGATGCATAAAAAACTTTCAAAACCTCCTGAACAACAACACATACAAAACACGAAGTGATGCATAAAAAACTTTCAAAACATCCTGAACAAAAACACATACAAAACAACTCCTCTCCCTTCAAACAACAAATATATCGCTACTCACATCACTCAACAAAAGTACATAAGTGGAAGCACACCACAGGTAAGGAAACTATCCATAACATGCAGTTACGTATTTCATAAATGCAACAGGATACAACTACAAAGCAGTTTCTGTTACACCATTACAAAAGCAAGTCTCATCCAGTTGCTAGTGCAATGATTACAGAGAAGACATTGAACCTGATGGCGGTCAAGTGCGGCCGAAACATGTAGTTAGACATAAAATGTGAACATTTGAAAAATACTTAAATAGTGTAAAGCTGAAGACAATAACAAACATCAAGTTTACATACAAAAAAAGCAGGATGCTACACTACAGAATAGAATTCTTCATGAAGATAACAGTAGCTCATAGCAGTAAGCACTGCCAGATATGGACGACATTAACAAGACGTGTCTTCTGACATCATAACCGAGTGTCACAGCAAACAGCATGCTCGAGCCACACAAAATATATTTGGAAGGTGACAGGTTGAGAACCCATGATCCAGGCACATTAATTATATGTAAAAGAAGCAAGATGTACTGCGGGTAACTGGAAAGTAAGCTGCACAAAGGACAAGCAAAATAGAACAGGAACATTAAAGCAGTATGAATGTGACTACAAAGTGTGAAGCTTGTAGAAAGACTACCAAAAGTAGAAACACTTAGAAATTATAATGACAACAATTAAATTACCTTTACATCCATTTCAATAATTACACTTACCGCTCAACAGCTTGGTCTAAGGTAAGTTTCCTTGTAATCCGAGTTACATTAATGCGTTGACTGTACGTTGAACAGGATCCCCTGATCTTCTTTACATTATCCTCTATTGGACAATGTGGATAGATGTCCTCTGGGACAAATCTCTAAAGGAAGAATTTCAATTTGCATACACCAGAGTTCAGCACAGACAAACAGCAGATTTATTTTGAAGTTTGCAGAGAGCATAAAAAGGGAAAATCATTTTGTATAGAAAGCAGTCCTCTGTCACTTGCACAGCATAAGCAACAGCTCAAGTTTCAGTTAACTTTCTACATCCTAAGAGGAATGGGGAGACTAGTGAGATCAAACTGGCCTTCTTTTGAACAAGCTCAATAAAAATATCACGTCATTACAGACTTTTTTGTAATCGCTGCCTTCAACAATACCTATCTAACAGCCCTGCCAACTTCTAAGGAAGCAAGACACAAGACAAATTCTGTACAATGACATATTTTAAACACGTAACAGATTTACAAAAGTAGTATGAATAAAACCAATAACATAAAAATTATATAAAATATAATTTGCTCACTAGGTGTTCCCTGGGCTGTATCACATTTTCCTAAGAACTAAGCAGCCAGCATGATCAGGGTTCATTTTTGAAATACAACGCTGCACAACAATAGGAATTGATGGCATTGATTTAACAATAAGCAACAAGGTCATTGTTAATATGTTGTAAAGTATGAGGTCATTGATGGGGCATTGGTGCAACAATGGGTAATGAGGTCATTCTTGAAACACACTGTTTCCACAATGACCTCATATCACATAAATGCAACAGTGATATAAGACATCACTGTTGCCTTTTATACAATTCAATTTTATTTCTCTGGTTGTCCTGCTGACATTAATGCCCATAATTTGACACAAAGTTAAGTTAATCTTTGGAATGTCAGAGTACTCCAAAGAGCATGCCTTTCCAACCTTATTTCATAATGATTACAACTGTACATTAACAAAGGTCAGCAGCAATGATAAGGCCACATTCACGTGTGACTCAGTATTGCACAAGATTTTGTTTGACCACTCACCCCCATCTAGTGCAGAGGTTGAGAATGAGTAGGAGTTATACCTCATCCATCTAGTGCAGAGGTCGAGAATGAGTAGGAGTTATACCTCACCTCCCCCCCTCCCCAAGCACCTACATGGGGTATAGTGGGACAGCTTTACTTTTGACTTTACTGGACATGGATATGTTTACATTACAGCTGTGTGATTACATAAAGATTACAAGAAAATATGATGGAAAACTCAGAAGAAAGTTTCCTGTAGTTTGAGATCCCCAGAGTCCTAGCAATAAACTAGAACTCCAAGCCCAACTTGCTAGTGAGAAGTATCCTCTTCTTGACGAAAGCTGCCTTGGCCATGGCTATCCTTGCTTTTACTTCCTTGGTGCATAGGGCGTCCGTCGTGACTATGCTTCCCAAGTACTTGAAATGCTCCACATTCTCCAGCTGTTGGTTTCCAATTACAACGTTCAATGGTTCTGCTCTCGGTGCTATCCTCATTACCTTTGATTTTTCAATGTTGATTTCCATTCCATACTCTCTACCTGTTTCCACTAACTTGTCCATCATGTTCTGTAAACTGACTATTAAGAGAAGATAAATTTAACAATAAGTAAAATAGACAAACATTCATGTTGTAAGCCTCTTAAGCACCTGGCACAAGACACCATCAAAAGTAACTGCAAAACTGCTAATAAATTATTGAAACTACTAATTTTACGGAAACAGGGTTTAGAAGTATGGATTGCTGGTTCACAACAGGAACCAATATCAGATCTTTTTGAAGGCAGCACTGAACCTTCAGATTCCATAAAAAGCAGGGAATTTCTTGACTAGCTGAGTGTACCATTAGCTTTCATAGAGTCAACCTGACAAAATCACAGCTGTGCACTCTTTGCAACCACAGGATCCAGCAGACAGACTTAATATCTGTTACACACATATTCAGTCAGTGCATGACAGCACACTTTATCCCAAATTCACATTTTTCCGAGGTTTCATTTTATTCGAACTTATATGTGAACATAAACACAGACAATTCACAACTTATTCTAAAGCAAAGCTGTCCCACTATATGCCATATAGATGCTTGGGGGGAGAGGTGGTATAGCTCGTACTCATTCTTAATCTCAGCATCAGAAGGGGGTGAGTGGTCAGTGTTCACGCATCAGCCGTGCTTTACCCCCGGAAAAAGACCCCGGTATTCACTGGATAGGAGGTTGGGTGGGCCCCAGAGCCGGCCTGGATGCAGAGACCAGAAGAAAAATCCTCTGCCCCCATCGGGGATTGAAACCCAGCTGTCCAGTCATTATACTGAGTGAACTACCCCGGCTCCTGACAACTTATACTAAAGTACTGTTGATATTCAAGGCTGATGTTCTGGATTACTGCTATTTCTTCTTACTGTACTCAAATATCCTGAATAGTTT